GGCCGTCTGGACCAAGTGGTCTTTCTTGCGCATCCTTGGGCACTGGTCTTCCGAAAGCGTCCAGCGGTTTGCCAGAGAGATCTGTAGGAAGCGGTTCTCCATCGGGTCCGACAATGGGTCTAATGACACGACCAGCTTCATCAGTTGGTAATGTTTTCACAGTTTCGTCTGTAACATCAATAGAAACAACTCGGCCATAAGCATCTGTTGGCAGAATCGATCCATCAGAAGCGACAGGCCGACCAGCATCATCTGTTGGAATAGGTTCACCGTCTGGTCCAATAACTGCTCCTGTTTCATCAGTTGGAAGTGGTCGGCCGTCGGCGTCGACAACAGGATAAACCGGTTTCTTGTTTGAATCAGTCGGAAGCGGTTGTCCATCGCGACCAACAGCAGGATATATGTAATTTCCATCGTCGTCAGTCGGTAAAGGCTGGCCGTCTGGACCAAGTGGTCTTTCTTGCGCATCCTTGGGCACTGGTCTTCCGAAAGCGTCCAGCGGTTTGCCAGAGAGATCTGTAGGAAGCGGTTCTCCATCGGGCCCAACGATTGGGTGGATTATATGACCAGACTCATCGGTTGGCAACGTTTTAGCCGATTTCGTGGCTTCTGCCAAGACAACTCTACCGTAGGCATCAGTGGGCAGAATTGATCCATCAGAGGCTATTGGATGGCCTGCTGAATCTGTTGGAACTGGCTCACCATCAGGCCGCACAACCGCTCCTGTTTCGTCTGTTGGCAATAGTCGCCCTTCACTATCAACAACTGGATAAACCGGTTTATTATTCATGTCTGTTGGCAGTGGCTGACCATCGTGTCCGAGTGCAGGATATATGTAATTGCCATTCTCATCGGTTGGTAGAACTTTTCCATCGGGAGCCAATGGTCTTCCATAACGGTCCTCTGCTAGTGGTCGTCCTTCAGCGTTCAGCGGCTTTCCAGCTTCATCTGTTGGCATGGGTTTTCCGTCAGGTCCGATAACAGGATGAATGACACGACCAGTCTCATCAGTTGGTAATGTCTTCACTGCTTCTGTGGTATCTGCGAATATAATGTTACCGGCAGAATCAGTTGGCAGTGGCGATCCATCAACGCCGACTGGGCGTCCTGACGAATCAGTCGGTATTGGCTGACCGTTTGGTCCGATCACAGCACCAGTTTCATCTGTAGGCAGCGGGTAACCGTCGGGATTGACAACCGGATAGACTGGTTTTTTGTTGATATCGGTAGGCAGTGGATGACCATCAGGGCCTAACGCAGGGTAGATGTAATTTCCGTCGTCATCAGTAGGGAGAATATTTCCATCCGGATCAAGAGGTCTTCCATACCTGTCTTTCATCACCGGTTTTCCAAAGGCATCCACTGGCGATCCTGCAGAATCAGTAGGTAGTAGTTCACCATCCGGCCCAATTACTGGACGAATGACACGGCCTGTTCCATCAGTGGGCAAAGTCTTTGCTTCTCCGGTGACTGGAGTAAGAACGATTTGACCAGATGAATCAGTAGGTAGAGGAGAGCCGTCTGAACCGACCGGGCGACCAGCAAAATCTGTTGGCACTGGCTCACCGTCAGGACCGACAACTGCTCCCGTTTCATCTGTGGAGAGAGGCTGCCCGTCTGGACCAACGATGGGATACACTGGCCTTTTGTTGCTATCAGTAGGCAGTGGGCGACCGTCTGCTCCGATCGCTGGATAAATGTAATTTCCACTATTATCCGTCGGCAGAACCCTCCTATCTGGGCCGAGTGGTCGTCCATATCTGTCTTTCGGAACTGGTCTTCCAAACGCACCGATCGGCTTGCCGGAGTGATCGGTAGGCAGTGGCTTGCCATCGGGTCCAACTATGGGCCGAATGACACGGCCAGATTCATCAGTTGGAAGCGTTTTAACAGTTTCTGTGCTTTCAACGGAGACTACTCTGCCATAAGTGTCCGTAGGGAGTAGCTGACCATCAGCATCAACCGGACGACCTGAAGCATCGGTTGGAATCGGCTCACCGTTTGGCCCAACAACAGCTCCCGTTTCGTCAGTTGGTAACGGTCTGCCATCAGCGTCAACAACAGGATAAACTGGTTTTCTGTTCACATCTGTCGGAAGTGGCCGTCCATCGCGACCAAGTACGGGGTATACATAGTTTCCATCATCATCTGTTGGTAGAATATTTCTATCTGGCCCAATTGGATTTCCGTAATTATCTCTTGGTATTGGTTTTCCAAATGCACCTATTGGTCTGCCAGAATGATCAGTAGGCAATGGTTCACCATCGGGCCCAACAATAGGGCGAACGACACGTCCAGCTTCATCAGTTGGCAAGACTTTGACAGTTTCGGTGGTCTCAATGGATATTACTCTGCCGTAAGCATCTGTTGGTAACGGCGACCCATCAGCAGCAACTGGACGTCCGGCAGCATCTGTCGGGAGAGGCTCACCATCTGGTCCAACAACGGCTCCCGTTTCATCAGTTGGGAGTGGTCGGCCGTCTGCGTCGACAACGGGGTAAACGGGTTTCTTGTTAGAATCTGTCGGAAGCGGTTGTCCATCGCGACCAACGGCAGGGTAAATATAATTTCCATCATCATCGGTTTGGAGAAGGTTACTATCAGGACCGAGTGGTCGTCCATATTTGTCTTTTGGAATTGGTCTTCCAAATGCGTCTATCGGTGCACCTGAGTGATCAGTAGGCAGTGGTTCACCATCGGGTCCAACAATGGGGCGGATAATGCGGCCAGCCTCATCGGTTGGTAACGTTTTCATAGTATCTGTGCCTCCAACAGAAATAACTCTACCATAAGCATCTGTAGGCAATGGTGATCCATCAGCATCAACTGGCCGACCAGCACTGTCCGTTGGAATAGGTTCACCGTCAGGTCCAACAACAACCCCTGTTTCATCAGTTGGTAACGGTCGACCGTCGGCGTCGACAACAGGATAAACCGGTTTTTTGTTGATGTCTGTTGGCAACGGTTGACCATCGCGGTCAAGTGCGGGATACATGTAATTGCCATCGTCATCTGTTGGCAAAACACTGCCATCCGGAGACAACGGTCTTCCGTAGCGATCCTCTGGTAGTGGCCGCCCCATGACATCCAATGGTTTACCGGATTCGCTGGTTGCCAGTGGCTTTCCGTCTGGTCCAACAATAGGACGAATCACACGACCAGTCTCGTCAGTCGGTAATGTCTTTACTGCTTCTGTGGTGTCAGCGTATATTATGTTACCTGCAGGGTCTGTGGGGAGTGGCGAGCCATCAGCACCCACTGGATGTCCTGATACGTCAGTCGGTATCGGTTCGCCGTTTTGTCCAACCACCGCTCCAGTTTCATCCGTTGGCAAAGGTCGGCCGTCCGGATCGACGACTGGATAAACTGGTCTCTTATTGATGTCGGTGGGTAAGGGTTGACCATCAGGGCCCAGTGCGGGATACAAGTAATTTCCATCGTTGTCCGTAGGTAGAATGCTTCCATCCGGACTGAGCGGCCTATCGAACTCATCCTTAGGCACTGGTCTTCCAAAATTATCTATATGTGCTCCTGATCTATCGGTAGGTAGTGGCTCACCATCTGATCCAAGAATCGGACGAATAATGCGTCCAGTTTCGTCGGTTGGTAATGCTTTTGTTGTTTCAATGCTTTCGGCATATATGATATTGCCTTGAGAATCAGTAGGAAGAGGTGATCCATCACCACCTATCGGCCGTCCGGAAGTGTCAGTTGGTATTGGTTTGCCGTTTGATCCAATCACTGCTCCCGTCTCATCTGTAGGCAATGGTCGACCGTCTGCATCGACCACCGGATAGACTGGTCTCTTGTTAACATCAGTTGGAAGGGGATGACCATCAGAACTTAACGCTGGGTAAATGTAGTTTCCGCTGTCATCTGTTGGCAGAACATTTCTGTCAGGACCCAACGGCCTTCCATAGCTATCTCGTAGCACAGGTCTTCCAAGTGCGTCAATAGTGGCTCCTGAACTATCAGTCGGCAGTTGTTCTCCATCTGGTCCAACAACTGGGTGAATGAGACGACCAGTTTCATCAGTTGGCAGGGTTCTTGCACTGGTAGGGAGAACAACTCTTCCCGATGAATCTGTAGGTAGAGGGGAGCCATCCGCAGCAATCGGACGTCCAGCAGAATCTGTTGTTACCGGTTCGCCATCCGGCCCGACAAAAGCTCCTGATTCATCCGTCGGTAAAAGCTGTCCATCTGGCCCAACTATCGGATAAACTGGTTTCTTATGACTGTCAGTAGGCAGTGGACGACCATCAGGTCCAACAGCTGGGTAAATGTAATTTCCATGATCATCTGTTGGCAGAACCCTTCTATCTGGTCCAATCGGTCTTCCGTATCTGTCTTTTGGAACTGGTCTTCCAAATGCACCCAGAGGTTTACCTGAATGATCGGTTGGTAACGGCTCACCATCGGGTCCAACAATGGGTCTAATGACACGACCAGCTTCGTCAGTTGGTAATGTTTTCACAGTTTCGTCTGTAACATCAATAGAAACAACTCGGCCATAAGCATCTGTTGGCAGAATCGATCCATCAGAAGCGACAGGCCGACCAGCATCATCTGTTGGAATAGGTTCACCGTCTGGTCCAATAACTGCTCCTGTTTCATCAGTTGGAAGTGGTCGGCCGTCGGCGTCGACAACAGGATAAACCGGTTTCTTGTTTGAATCAGTCGGAAGCGGTTGTCCATCGCGACCAACGGCAGGGTAAATATAATTTCCATCGTCGTCTGTTGGCAGAACACTGCCATCCGGAGACAACGGTCTTCCGTGGCGATCCTCCGGTAGTGGACGCCCCATGGCATCCAATGGTTTACCGGATTCGCTGGTTGGCAATAGTTCTCCATTTGGACTGATGACGTGGCGGCTTCGATCGTCAGTTTCTGGTGTCGTCGTTGTTGTTGTACCTTAAATGATGTAGCGATTATTTTTCGGTTAATGAATTCCTTGCCACTATCTTTTTTCGGTCTTTGTATTCGTGTTTCATCTGAACTGTAGTTTCCAGTTTGTGTGACACCAATGAATATTGGTGGAGGTAATGTTTCCATGATATCTCTGGGTGCTACGATTTGTTGAACATGGTCACGATGATCACGTACTTGTAAATACGTGCTGCCTTGCAATTTAGAATCGATGGTTCTTGTAGGTGATGTACTAGAAAATCGATCTGCAGGAGATGACAAAACTGACACTGTATGGTTGAGTAGTTTAAATATCATCCGTTTTTCTGAGACTCTCCTGATGCTCTTCCGTCTATTGATTTGGCCCAGGAATCTATCTAGCTTTGAGTGGACTAGGGTTTATTTACGTTTTTCTATTGGACGTAATTTCAAGCTTACGCGTTTTATCGGTTTTATGATGAGCCAGATATGCGCATATTTGATTTCTGAGGTCCTTGGAAGCGTCTTCTCCTTTGCGGAGGCGATTCCAATATCCTTTGCCGAGATCGAAAAACGCCACCGCCTCCTTTGCTCTCAAGTGTCTAATGAATGATTTCGCTTCGCGACTGAAATCATACAGTGTATGAGGTTTCACAGTCATTCATTTTGCTAAAGGAAAATATAGAGCTGTAGCTTTCAAAAATTAATTTTTGGGACAGATGAAAAAGCATCGAGAAAGATTTTTAGGAAAGTGTTAGAAAAACGCCAGGAGCGCTTGAGGCACTCAAATAAAACTAACCTGTTTTGAGACCTGTGCATATGAAGAATGACTTCACCTATGCCATCACGATGCACCTCTCGGAAAAGTTGTGAAGCAGTTCTCAATGCATGCTCGTCTCCACTTGATATCCCTCCTATCAACGGGATCTCCTTAATCGTATCGACTATTTCGTCGAGATTCTTGTAGTTACCAATATCAACGGAGATATCCACACTGCTTCCAAACGCGATTATGCCAACTTTGGATTTATCGAGATTCATGTTGTTTTTAATGAAGTCAATGACGTGCTTCTTCATTTCCTCGTAATGTCTGCTAATTGCATCGGAAGATTCGATAATAAAGATGACATGAGCATCATCATCAATTTTCTCACACTTCATTCTCTTCAACGTTACATCCTGTTCAGAGGAGGCCTTTGTAGCAGAAGGCTCCGTTACATACGAAGTTGGACCACCGCTGTAGTATGTTGGTGAATAAACATATCGTCCGTCAGCATCTGTTGGAAGGACTGAACCATCTGGACCAACGGGTTGCCCATCTGAATCAGCAGAAATCGGGAGAGGGATGCCTCGTTCGTCAACGACTACACCGGATTCATCAGTTGCAAGAACTTGGCCATCTTCGCTTACGACTGGATAAGCTACAGTTACGCTTTCTCTTGGAGAGTAAACGGCAACACCACCCTCCTTCATAGGTAAAAGTTGTCCATCAGCTGACAATGGTCTTCCTGCGAAATCAGTGGGCAGAACTTGACCGTCTCGACCAAGCGGTAAACCATCTGCATTAGTTGCAAGCGGCCTCCCATCAGGTAGTTCTACTGGATATATTGGACGCTTGTTTGCATCAGTAGGAAGCGGGTTTCCGTCGTTATCTATCTGAGGAAAAACGAAAGTACCATCTTCCCTAGTTGGGAGAGGATTTCCGAATGGGTCGACTGGCTTACCGTCATCGCCGAGTTCTATACGACGGCCGATGGGATCAACATACGATCCAGATGCGTCGGTTGACAACGGAGAACCATCTGGCCAGACTATTGGGTACAGAATATGGCCACTTGAATCTGTTGGGTATTGAATTTCACTGGGTGGTTCACCATCAACGACAACAATATTTCCATCGTCGTCAAAAGGATATGGTGACCCATTAGGACTTATCGGTCTACCTGCGGCATTAGTTGGTATCGGATTTCCTTCTGGACCAATAACTAGCCCGGCTTCATCTGTAGTTAGCGGCTGACCATCTTCATCGACCAGTCGATACAAAGGCCGCCCATTTTCATCTGTGGGCAATGGAACGCCGTTGTTATCAATTGCGGGATAGATGTATGATCCAGTTCTGTCTGTAGGTAATGGTTTCCGATCTGGCCCGATCGGTTTACCAATTTCGTCAAATTCTACTTTTTCGCCAAGTCGATTTACACTCGTTCCAGACTTATCCGTTGGTAATATTCGGCCATCCATATCTTTGATTGGGTAGATGATGTGGCCATATTCGTCAGTTGCTAGAGGTGCTGATGTCGTTGCGGAAATCAGCATGATGCCTCCCTGCTCGTTTGTTGGCAATGGAGAACCATCTGGACCTATTGGTTTACCCGACACATCGGTTGGCAGAGGTTTACCATTGACACCAATCACTGATCCATACTCGTCTGTTGGTAAAGGCTGCCCATCCGGTCCTAATACCACCATAGTTTGCAGTTTTGGTGTTGGTGTTATTTTTTCTGAAATCGTTGACATAGGTACGGGAATTTTCCCTGAAATGCATTCGTCTTCGATCTTTTCAGCGATTTGTGAAGCGATGAGCTGAGACCACTCTTCTACCACGATGAAAAGGTCTGCATTGTCCCTTATTTCTTCCTCATACTCTGTCTTTCCTATTACCAGCAAAGGAATGTTAGCCATTTGCAAAGGTCTGATTGCATCGTTTCCGTATCTGAAAATCAATGCAATGAACTTGCTTAGAGGCGTGGAAAACGTAAAAAATTAAATCGTTAATTTAGCCGCCAATTGTTTAATACGTAAAAGACACCCAAAATTCCAGTATACATAGGCATTTTTCTTTATTGGTGATGAAATACACCAGCGAAATAAGTACTACGACGATGAGAAATTATACGGTGAAATGACTTACATATCTTGCCCATCCGTAATTATGATGAGGAGCTTCCCAGCTGGAGCTCGACCGAAAGTGACAAACTGCTGCTGAGCCGCATTAACTCCAACGTTTAATTTCGAAATGTCATGTGACGTGTTTCTTTCCATCATTTCCAACACGCTGAACAGCTCAATCTTTTCATTATACCCGCCCAATGTAATCGGAACTTCTGCAGTTCCACTGTATTTGACAACTGCGAATTGTGTCATATCCGGTGCGACATCGAAATGCTCATCGATGAGGTTTCTAATAACCGTCTTGATGTGATTAAAACCTTGGGAATCGACGGATTCTGTGTTTATTGCAATCACGATATCCATCACGCCAAGTTTGGTCTCACATGAATCTTTCAACGGAGAAAAGATAACATGCCCAAATGAATCAGTTGGCAGAACAGAACCCGCGGCACTAAGAGGTCTACCAGCGCGATTTGTAGGTAATGGCTGGCCATTGGTATCTAATGCCATGCCATTCTCATCTGTGGGCAGTTGAATCCCGTCTTTTCCGAAGACATTATAAATCGGACGATGATTTTTATCAGTTGGCAGAGGTTCACCATTGGGACCTGATATCGGGTAAATATAATCTCCATATTCATCGGTAGGTAGAACACTACCATCTGGACCCAGCGGTCTTCCGCTATCATCTGTTTTGACTTTCTGACCATCACTTAACAAAAATTTGCCACTGTCGTCGGTTGACATCAATTCTCCATCAGGACCAACAATTCTAGCAGTTGGTGCAAATGTAGGGATCACGACCGTAGGTAGAATATAGGTTCTATCGGATTTTGTAGGAAGAACATAATTTCCGTTATCATCTGTGGGTAAGGGCTCTCCATCATCACTGACTGGCTGACCATCGGCGTTGATTGCAACTGGAAGGCCATCATGTCCTACGAATCGACCAATGCTATCAGTGGGTAATACTCCGCCAGACTGGTCAACAATCGGGGAAAGAACCCGACCAACAGTATCTGTCGGTTTCATCGTAGGAACAGATTTTTCAGGGAAAACGATACGACCTTCAGCGTCGGTTGGCAGGGGCGAAGAATCTGGACCAAGTGGTTTACCGGATTCGCTAGTTGGAATCACGTGCCCCTCGGAATCCAAAATCATCCCATCGCTTCTTGTTGAGAATGGCACACCGTCCGATCCTATAACAGTATAAATTGATCGTCCAAACGAATCAGTTGGCAGTGGCTTGCCTGCTGCATCGGTGTCAGGATATATAAAGTTGCCAAGCGAGTCTGTTGGCAAAACATTGCCGTCAGGCCCGATCGGGAGGTTCTGTTCGTTAATCGCGACCGGCTTCCCATGTTTTGATATATATGCACCCGTTTCATCTTTCGGTAATGGTAGTCCATCTGCATCAACAACCGGGTGAATGATATGACCATATTCATCTGTTGCAAAAGCCGTAGTTTGTTCTTCAGTGGGGAGCTGTACAACTCTACCAAACTCATCGGTAGGCAGTGGTGAAGAGTCACCACCAATTGGTTTACCAGCAGCGTTAGTTGGAATAGGTTTACCGTCCTCCCCAAGAACGCTACCACTTTCATCGGTCGGCCGAAGTTGTCCATCAGGGCCGACGACAGGATAAACTGGCTTGCCTCTTCTGTCTGTCGGTAGAGGTGAGCCATCAGGAAGCTCCGCAGGATACATGACATTGCCAAAAACATCCGTAGGCATAGGTTCGCCTTCACGATCGACAGGCCAACCTTCGCCATCCGTGGCAATAGGCTCACCATCAGGGGATATTTGCACACCATACGAATCAGTTGGAAGTGCGAAACCATCAGGTCCTATCACAGGATGAATTTCTTTGCCATACTTATCGGTTGGAAGAGGTTCAGCATCCAGCCCACCTAAAGGATAAATCACATGTCCATTCTGATCTGTTGGAAGTATTTCTCCTTTATTATTGACTGGAACACCTGCTGCGTTTGTAGGGAGCGGTTCGCCTTCCGGACCAACGACAACACCATCAGCATTTGTGGGAAGGGGCCTTCCGTTGGGTCCAACGACCGAGTACACTGGCCTCCCACTACGATCTGTTGGCATAATT